TTTTTTTTTCTTTTTGAGGTGTAATCCATACTGAAGGCTGTGGTCTTTGATCTTCATCAGTAAGTGCTTCAAGTCCTCTTCACTTTCAGCAAGCAAGGCTGTGTCATCTGCATATTGCAGGTCGTTAATGAGTCTTCCTCCAATCCTGATGCCCTGTTCTTCTTCATATAGTCCAGCTTCTCAGACTATTTGCTCAGCAGACAGATTGAATAGGTATGGTGAAAGGATACAACCCTGACACACACCTTCCCTGACTTTAAACCACGAAGCATCCACTTGTTTTGTTCGAATGACTGACTCTTGGTCTATGTACAGGTTCGTCATGAGCACAGTTAAGTGTTCTTGAATTCCCATTCTTCACAAGGTTATCCATAATTTGTTATGATCCATACAGTCGAATGCCTTTGCATAGTCAATAAAACACAGGTAAACATCCTTCTGGTATTCTCTGCTTTCAGCCAGGATCCATCTGACATCAGCAATGATATGCATGGTTCCATGACCTCTTCTGAATCCGGCTTGAATTTCCGACAGTTCCCTGTCGATATACTGCTGCAGCCACTTTTGAATGATCTTCAGCAAAATTTTACTTGTGTGTGATATTAATGATATTGTTCGACAATTTCCACATTCAGTTGGATCGCCTTTCTTGGGAATAGGTATAAATACGGATCTCTTCCAGTCAGTTGGCCTGGTAGCTGTCTTCCAAATTTCTTGGCATAGACGAGTGAGCACTTCCAGCACTGCATCCATTTGTTGAAACATCTCAATTGGTATTCCATCAATTCCTGGAGGCTTGTTTTTCGCCAATGCCTTCAGTAATCATATGCTGCCTCTTGAAATGGTTGAACGTTGGCCAATTCTTTTTGGTATAGTGACTGTGTATTCCTTCCATCTTTTGATGCTTCCTGCATCATTTAGTATTTTCCCCTTAGGATTCTTCAATATTGCAACTCGAGGCTTGAAGTTTTTCTTCAGTTCTTTCACCTTGAGAAATGCCGAGCACGTTCTTCCCTTTTGGTTTTCTATCTCCAGCTCTTTGCACATGTCATTATAATACTTTACTTTGTCTCCTCAGCTGCCCTTTGAAATCTTCAGTTCTTTTACTTCATCATTTCTTCCTTTTGCTTTAGCTACTGGACATTCAAGAGCAACTTTCAGAGTCTCTTCTGACATCCATTTTGGTCTTTTTTTTTCTTTGCTGTCTTTTTAATGACCTCTTGCTTTCTTCATGTATGATGTCCTTGATATCATTCTACAACTCATCTGATCTTTGGTCTTTAGTGTTCAACGTGTCAAATCTGTTCTTGAGATGGTCTCTAAATTCAGGTGAGATATACTCAAGGTCGTACTTTGGCTCTCGTGGACTTGTTCTAATTTTCTTCAGTTTCAACCTGAGCTTGCACATGAGCAATTGATGGTCTGTTCCACAGTCGGCCCCTGACCTTGTTCTGACTGGTGTTATTGAGCTTTTCCATCGTCTCTTTCCACAGATGTAGTCGATTTGATTCCTGTGTATTCCATCTGGCGAGCTCCATGTGTAGAGTCACCATTTATGTTGGTGAGAAAAGGTATTTGTGATGAAGAAGTTGTTGGTCTTGCAAAATTCTGTCATGCGATCTCTGACATTGTTTTTATCACCAAGGCCATATTTTCCAACTACTGATCCTTCTTTGTTTCCAACTTTCACATTCCAATCACCACTGTTACCAATGAATCCTGATGGCGGGTTTAGTCAATTTCAGACTGCAGAAGTTGGTAAAGTCTTCAATTTCTTCATCTTTGACCTTAGTGTTTGGTGCATAAATTAGAATAACAGTCGTAGTAACTGGTCTTCTTTGTAGGCATATGGATATTCTCCTATCACTGACAGTGTTGTACTTCAGGATAGATCTCGAAATGTTCTTTTTGACGATGAATGCAACTCCATTCTTCTTCAAGTTGTCACTCCCAGCATAGTAGACCACGTGATTGTCTAATTCAAAATGGCCAATACCAGTCCATTTCAGCTCACTAATGCCTAGAATATTGATATTTATGTGTTCCATTTCATTTTTGATGATTTCTAATTTTTTTAGATTTATACTTCGTACATTCCACGCTCCGATTATTAATGGATGTTTGCAGCTGTTTCTTCTCATTTTGAGTCATGCCAGATCAGTAAATGAAGGTCCTGAAAGCTTGACTCCACCCACGTCGTTAAGGTCGACTCTACTTTGAGGAGGCAGCTCTTCCTCGGTCGTCTTTTGAGTGCCTTCTAACCTGGGGGGCTCATCTTCCAGCACTATATCAGACAATGTTTCACTGCTATTCATAAGGTTTTCACTGGCTAATTTTTTTCAGAAGTAGACTGCTGGGTGCTTCTTCCTAGTCTGTCTTCGTCTGGAAGCTCAGCTGAAACCTATCCGCCGTGGGTGACCCTGCTGGTATTTGAATACCGGTGGTATAGCTTCCAGCATCACAGCAACACACAAGCCCCCCCAGTATGACAAACTGACAGATGGGGGGCAGAGGGCAGAGTGTGGGTGGGGGGACAGTGGCTCCTGAAGTGGAGACCTGGTGGGCGAGGTAGGAGGTGGGGGTGAATGAG